AGGAAAACAAACTTCCTAGTTGCTCCTCAATTCTTAAAAAAAATTCTTGCAAAAATTCCATTAGTCCATCGATAACAAATTGAAGCCATTGGAGGAAAATCAAACCTCCAGCAAAGGCCTCTCTCATCCCTTGCTTATGCTGAATTGAGATTTTCTTAGTCTTATTTTTCCCTCGAGGGGATAAACTCTTCTTTTATCTGCTATTCTCACTGTTCTCTTTTCTACTGTTGGAGGCAGGACTACTTTTTTCTTTTTCATTAGAGAAGGGGCATAGTTTCATAGCTAAAAGTTAAAGACGTGCCAACTTGTCCTACTCTTTCTTAAGCGTCGGTTCTGCTTTAACTAGATTCTGTTTTTTTTTCCACACATCCATTTTTAGGCCCCTCTTGAAATTCCCAGTTCCTCCCTGATTCGTAAAAAAAATCAGAGCATCAAAGAACCAATAGTGAAGCTTGATTGTTGTGGGTCAGATTCGGCTCATCCCTCTGCAAATAAATTTGTAGATTTGTTTACTCTGACTATCTTCTCTCCTCTACTATGAAAATGAATTTTCTTTACTTTTTTCTACTCGAGACACGCTTTCATGTTGTTGATCTTGTCGATTAGTAAACAAAGGTATTTTTCTCATTTTTGCTTTTTCTTTCATAGTGAGTAATGTTGACACTATGCTAAACTTATACAAAATTATTACATGTTCTGGGCTTATCTGTGTTGTAGTTGCCGAAATAAGAATAATTTTAGTGTTGTACGAATTGGTTAATATTTAGCTTGTCTGATGTTAATAATTTTGGTTAGATTTATTGGATTAACATATGGTGTAACTATGTTCTGTCAGTAAGTTCACTATGTATGAATTTGAGCTATGATACCAAAGGATTGGAAATGATTTTCCTGTATGATTAAAGTTGATGTTTTCATTATGGAAGCCTATGGATCTGGGAATGTAGAAAAGACTAGAGAGTGGAAAATGCAAGTGCTTGAAATGTATTGCCATTTTGCAAGTAGCTACTATGGAAACATTTTACAAGCTACCTTTTGGAATTGAAGTGTTTGGTAGTGCAAAGAATATAGGATACACAAAGATTAGTGATGAGGTTTAGTGAATTCTTTTACCTGATGGTTCATGAATTCATTTATAGTAATGAACCATGCCTTACCTGCTGGTGAATAAATTTTGGCAAATTTGCTGAGCTTGTGCAAAATTGGTTTTAGGCCTCTTTTGTTTTGTAGTTGCCGAACTTAGAATAAATTTGGTGACAATAATTTGTTAATTTTTAGGTTGTCTGTTATGGTTCATGTGATCTTGCAAAGAACTATGCAATTCTAGCGTTTTATAATTTATAAAAAATGTGGGTCAACATAAAGTTTAATATGAAATTCATATTACATATAAACTAAGTTAGGATTACAAATTACAACAAGTATTCAACTTGGTAATTTTCAGTTTTCCTTGACATCACTATGCTTCCTACAACTGAAGTTCTTATGCTATAATAACAAACGATGCAGTCTTGTGGACTTGTTTCAACTTCATAACTGTAATGGCTACTTGTTTATTCAATTGTTTCTAACAATTGTGTTTGTATTGTTGATGAATTTCTTTTCAGTTTTCTATTGGTGTATGAGGCACAATAACATTACTCCTGCAAACTCGTCTGGAAACAAAAAAGAGAAGCTGCTGTAAAATTAAGTAATGTGTGTCTGTTTTTTACAATTACATAACTACTTGCCTAGAGAAGGTGCTAGAATATGTTTTTGTTTACAATACTATGACCATATGTTGTTGTCATTTATGTTAAGTAACTACAACTATAATTGGGTTTGCATACTGAAATTAAAATATATCCTGTTAGTTGTTGGATTAACTATCCATATGCTTTTCTCGGTCATGTGCCCTTATGGTTGTGCAAAATTGTAAACTTTGGTGATTGTTCTTATTAACTATCTTTCAATTCTGATTTTGTTATTGTCAATTGTTTGTGTTGTTGTAATTGTTTAGGGCTTGTATGCTATCAAATGCTCTGATCAGTGGTGCATGTTTATAAACATAGCATATAAAAAGGAAATATGTTGGGTAAGGAAATTTTAAGGCATTTACCTAGTGTCAAAGTTTATTTATATATATTGGATGCTCTAAGTTCATTTTCAGAAATGAAAGTCTTAACCTTTTTGTTTCATTTTTAATCGTCATTGTTGATTGTTTGAATACTTGTATGTTGACTATATTTGCATTCAATTAGACGTCACATTCACTGCTTCTTGAAACTCATTATTTTTGCTTCCAAATATAATGACCGAACTAGGAATGGAAGCTCCTGAAAATATAGATAAAGCAGCATGGACTAAAGAAATGTTGCATGTCTTTTGTGACCTTTGCATTAAGGCTATCAACATAGGAATGAGACTAAATACTCATTTCGACAAAACTGGTTGGAAATATTTGTTGGCATCATTTAAAGAACACATTGGGCATGCATTCACCAAGGCACAACTGTAGAACAAATAGGATGACTGCAAAAAGGATTGGAGGATATGGAAGAAGCTCATTTCTAAAACTGGTGTGGGCTAGAGTACTGAATTAGGAACTATTTTTGCTAGTGATAAGTGGTGGAAATCCAAAATTAAGGTTATTTGGCACGATTCTTAATCTTCAATTTGTTTACATCTGAGTTTAGTTATTGATAAATTAGGTTAAGTTGTATGAAATAATTTTATTTCTTTTTTGTAGGAAATAAGAGGGGGCCAAAAAATTTAAACGTACCGGTATCAAACTGTCTTTGTGTATAAAGTACGACAAAATATTCACAAACATTGTTGCTACCGATGATTATGCATGGGCTCCATCGTCTGGAGTCTTACCTGATCATAATATCGGTGTTAATGGCAATCAAGATGCCAATGTTGAACAACTAGATTTGGAAGAAGAAAGTAGTGATTATAAAGAGGACGAAATTCCAAATTTTGCCGATGATGTTTGCGACATGGTTAAGGGGGTTAATATGTCTACTAGTAGCAACAACCATAGTAGTGAGAAGAGGAAAGAAAGAGAAAGGTTTAAGGTTTAAGCTGGGAAAAAAAAAGAAATTCCATAATTGGGTTTCAACTACTATCACGGTAGGATCAAATGGTTGACAGTATGTCAAACAATAGTGATTCCACATCTATCAGTAAAGATCAGGAAGGGTGTAGTATTCGTGAGGTTATGATCGAGTTGCACTCAATTAAAGGAGTTCATATCGGTGATGATTTTCATGGGTTTGCTATTGAGTTTTTAGGTTTAAGAAGGAATAGAGAAATGTGGTAAACTATGGGTAATCTTGAAAACAAGATGAAATGGTTGCAGAGAATATACACATGGCATAAACGACCTTAGATCGAGAGGTATATATTAATCCTAAATGCATGCTTTCATATATTTATTGCTAATATTATTATTTAAATTGTTATTTAACTTATTTTTAAATTTATTGTCATTTATATAAATATACAGATTAATAAAGTTGCAGATTTCTCTAACTGATATGGAGTAATAAATTAATTTATGTTGGTTCGGGATCCTCCATAAATTAAACAATTCACATTGTACTGGGATGACGTTTGTAATTAATTAGTTTATGGAGCATTAATATTTATTATGTACCGACCATGGATTGTATTTTAATGTAGTTCGAAGCTATAATGTTACTTGAGAATTTTTAAGTCTTATTAGTTATGATATGAGATAATATGATTTAATATGAATTATATTAGTTTATGATGTGGACAATGCTTTAAGTTTTTAACTAATAAATATGTTGGTTGATGATGCAAATCAAATGTATTGTTTCATTTGAAAAAACAAATTTAACTTATAAATTTCAATGCACTATAATAGATTGTTTTATTATAATAACAAAGCAAAATTTAAATTACATTGGAAAAGGTCTTTGCAGTTTTCTTAACCAAATTTTACTTCTATTGATTTTTTGCATTCTTAAGCAAGTTTTCATTTATCATAATTAATTAAGTTTCAAATCAAGTCATTCACGTCCAAATTGATCATGTCTTATAGATTTTTTTGTAGAGTTGGAATTTCTAATAATAACCTAAATATGGGTTTTCAAGGGATCATATTCATAAGTGAGAGAGAAGATAAAAAGCAAGAAATTTCGTTAAATCGAGCTTTTATCAAGGCAAAAGTCACATGCAACCTGTAAAATGAAACTGAAGTCACATGTAACCTGTAAAATGGAACTGTAAACTGGTGTATTGTAGTGATGAGCAACAATGTTTTACTTGATGAGATAAACAAAAGCAATGCAATGCACAGTAAAACAACATCAAAAGCAACATCAAATGAGTTGCTGCACTAAAACCATGAACAACAATAAAGTGTATTAACATGTGATTGTGTTAAGGACATTTCCACATGGGTTAACGCCTTTCAAAAGAAAAAATAGATGAGGAATATTCATTGTAAAGATGGAAATTAATAGAATAAAAAACAAGAAGAAGAATATAAAACCCGATAATGAACCACCTGAAACAGAGGAAACAAACCAAAACAGAGAAAAAAGAGAGGGAAACAGGGGCACAAAACAGGGGCACCATCACATAGCTCCCTCATCACCATAAAGATAATCGGCCGAACTAGACGAGTGGAAACAATATGAAGGACAACCCATAATTTGATATGTGAAACACACTAGTAAGGTCACACAACCATTTCTATTCTATAAGAGAGCTGAACAACAACAATATACAAAGGTTAAAATAGGGGCACCATCGTATGACTTCCTCATCACCGCTATAATAACCACCATCCGTTACTGTCCTTAACATCAGCACCACCATAAATGGAGAGCAAAACATCCAAAACAGACATGCAAAGTAGCAGAGACAGAGAGAAAGAAAAAGACCAGAAACAGTTGACATATAAGAAGGACTAGTTTCAATAGGCCAACCAGCACCCTCCGTTCACCATCGGCCACCACCGTTCAGACCGCCAGGCAGACATTGGAGCAGCGCAGGGTAGCTTCGTCTTCCCTTTCCCCTTTCCCCTTTCCCCTTCTTCTTTTTCTTCTTCGGCCTCTATAAAAATTCCAGGCGGCCTCCACTGTTAATGTGAATAGTGGATGCCGAGTGGAATTTCTACAAAGGCAGACCGGGCCAAAACTATCCAAATGATATTTTTCAAAAGAAATCAAAACAATAGTGTTTTACAATATTTATTTGTTTATCTATTTAACAGTATACATATGGACAATACGAGTTGTAATGCAATATTCAATAAAGATTTGGATGATGATTATGAAAACATCATAGAGCGTGTTGTTGATCACATTAACTATCGTGGTGATTATGATAATGGTGGCTCAGGCGGGGATACTGATGATGGGCCAAATGATGAAGACGACAACGATGACGATGACAATGATAATGATGAGGATGATGAATCATTTTAGAGGCAAGAATTTGATAGGAAAAAGTTAGTTGTATGCACAGCTGGGGCCATACACATGTATTATATTAATTATATATATAAAGAACCGTGTATGGTTTCGTACAACACGGGCATGCGTTGGTTGACCGAAGTTTTATAAGGATATTAAAAACGATGTGTGAATATGTTAAGGATGGACACAACAACTTTGTTGAGCCTTTACAGTGATTTAGAAACCAGGTATGGGTTAAAACCTTCGAGAAGGATGAGTGTGATTGAAAAAATAGCTATATTTATGTATACAATAGCACTCGGAGCATCAAATAGGGAGGTTCAAGAGCGATTTTAACATTTGGGTGAAACTGTTAGTAGATGCATCAAGGAAGTATTAGCAACAGTAGGTTTATTTATAGTAGATGTCATAAAACCAAAGGACCTGAATTTTACAAGCACTCCATGAGAAATCGCAATGAATCCAAGATATATGCCTTATTTTAAGGTCAGAAAAATATTTGTTAATGTTGGCAATGTGAAATTTGGATAATTTTTTGCATGTTAGTAATTAATGAGTTTATATTGTCAATGGTTTTCATGTAGGATTGTGTTGGTGTAATTGATGGAATACATGTGCGAGCTTGCATATCAACTGAAAATCAAATTCCATTTATCGGAAGAAAAGGTGTACCGACTCAAAACATTATGGTTGCTTGTAGTTTTGACATACAATTCACGTTTGTGTGGGCAAGATGGGAAGGCAGTGCCTACGATACACGTATTTTTCTTGAGGCTATTGACAATAGAAATATAAAATTTCCTAAACCACTAGAAGGTAGTTATACAATATAACTTGTTATATAATTATAAGTTGTTAAATTTGTGAAATTCGTATTAATCATTTGACAAACGTAAATGATGTTTGTAATTACATGTAAGTACTGGTTGATTCTGAATATCCTAATAAGTATAGGTATTTAGGTCCATATAAAGGTCAGAGATATCATTTCCAAGAATTTTGGCGTCGTGGACAACCAATAAATCGACAAAAAGTTTTTAATCGTGCACATTCATCACTACGTAATGTGATAGAACGTTCTTTTGGATTATGGAAATAGAGGTGGAGGATTCTACAAAACATGCCTGCTTATCATTACAAAATGCAAGTTAAAATTGTAGTTGTATCAATGGTACTACATAATTACATTAAAAGGAGATCGCATGACGACGTTGTATTTGTGGAATTTGAACGCAATTCTAATTTTATTTCTGATGATATTTTACCCGATGTTGTTGCATGCGTAGGAAGCATACACAATAAAACAGTGAAACATAGTCAAGGTAGGATGAATTTCGTACGTGATGGAATTGCAGATAGTTTAATGGAATAGTGAAACATACACTAAATAAAGTATTTTTATTTGATGATGTAATGACAGTAGTTAAATTTATAATATTTTAATAAAAAATCATCAATATTAATATATGTATATTTTAGTTATTTTATACCTGAATTTGAAAAGCTTGATCGTTTGAGATTATGATAGCGATGGCGGATCACGGTATTTTTCGCTTCGAGATATATCTTTTGAGATTTTTTTTACAAAATTATATTTGATATCAACACAATAAAACAATCTAAAAAAAATTAAAGAATTGTTTTTAGGAAAAATAGAAAAAAATTCATTATTTATTGGAACGCGGTTTGCACCGTATTCCTAAACGGTTACCAAAGACACGAAATTGCTTTTTGTTTAACCTCAATTTCAACCACAGTTTTAGCCAAACACTCACTAAATGAAACTAACCTCAACTAAAAGTACTTTTTTTAAAACAATTTTTGTTAAACTACAACCACAACAACTATAACAATACCAAACACACTCTATAACTCTACTAGTTTGGCGCGGTTAACAAACAATCCTGATCTAAATTAACTTATAATAATAATAATAATAATTTAATATTTTATGTAAAAAAGTTAAAAAAATATTTCAAAATGTAAGTTACTATTCTTCATATGAAAACTTTATATATATACACGTAAAAAAACATAAAGAAATATTTCATGTAAATTATCCCATGTAAAATAATTAAAAAACATTTTATAAGTATATAGACTATAAGAAAAATATATAAGGTTACTAATTAATTTTATATTTTTTGAGTTTATTAAAAAAATATAAAAAAAATCGAGTCTTAACTACGTTTAACCAAGCCAGTTGTAAAGCTTGAGTTTTGATCATTTAAAACTCCGTCAAGGCCTTAGGTCACTCAAGTCATGAGTTAACCTGTCAAATTGGATTAGATTTTATATTTATATTATATAGGATTATTAATAGACTTTTTTTTTTAATTTTACAGCAATACAAAGAAAATGACAATTGCATATATTAATCTTCATGCACTACAGGACAAATAAATATCAAAGGATTTTAGTCTTTATAATGGTGAAAAAGAAGGATGGGTTAAAAATATTCAACTTATTCGGTCATATACGAGGATATAACATTTTTTTTATTATTTAGATTTTTATACTTGAATTTATATTTAAAAATAATTAGTTATACTAATGATAAATATCTACACAACATGACCCAAAAGCTATGGGCTTGTTAACCCCATACTTGGGATGCTGGGCATGTGCACGAGGTGCCCGCCTACGCATTAATAGATATGCAGCCTAGCACTTTATTAGGCTTGGACTTTGTACTTGAGCCCAACAGGCATAGGCCCACACAACATGTTCGGGCATATTTTTCAATTTTAACAAGCTTAGACAACTCGCTTAAAACTAACATTTTTTAAGATTTGTTTTACTAAACTAATATATTTTGGATCACACTCTCCCTACACCCCTAAGTATATAAAAATCCCTCTTGACCTACTATAACTCTATTTTATTAATATTTGTGTAAGGAATATTTATTCATTATTAAAATTATTAGGGTAAAATTATATTTCAACCCCTCATCTCTATAAAAAAACAAGACTCATATATTATAAATACCTCATGAACCCTTAAAGTTCATGGTTTATAATTTTTTCATTCTTAATATTCTTAGCATACATATTTTTGGACTTTATCTTTCTAAAATATTATTTAACTTTCTCTCTCTACAAAGATATTTACATAAGCATCTAAGATGCTCTATATCCATAGTTATCAAACCTAGCTCAAGGGTTGACTTGACTAAGGGGCCGGGTCTCGGGTTTCATGGGTCAACCTAGATTAACCCAAAAAAACTTAAAAAATATTTAAAGTTTTAATATGTTATATGAAAAAATTTAAAAAAAAATCATGTGAATATAAGTTATACATGTTGTAAATAATGAAGTTTAAAAGAATATTTTTAAAATTTTTTTTATCTCACATTGAAAAAATACTATGTTAT